AAACATTTTTTTCCAATTTTTTAATAATTTGAATTAGATTGAATTATGTATATGCATCACAAAGAATTGAGTTTCATTTATGATATTAAAAGAATTAAGTTCAATATTATTGAAATATTTTGATTTAATCTCTTATTCTTGATTAACTGATTATTTTTTTCTTACAAGAAACCCATAAAAATAATAATAATAATATATTTCTAAAATACAATATAAAATTTAAATCACAAACAAAATTTGAATAGTAGCCAAAAAGAGTAAATAATTTTAATCAATAATTTTGAACTCTTTTTTTGTATGTTTCAAAGTTTTCTTCAGTCACATATAAATTATAATCCAAAATTTCTAAGAAAAATATTTCTAATTAAATAAGTTCTTCTTTTTTGAGGCCACTTGCTAATTTGTATTTCTCAATATTTCTAGGTTAGTCATTAAGAATCTTATCAGCAATTATAATTGCCCCAATTAATAATCCAGTACTATTTTCTAAGTTCAGAAAAATTCTTAGCTTTTTAGTGATCTAGTCAACAAAATAAAAAGCCAAAATTAACATTTCATCATCAAGGTTCATGTGATAAAGGTTCTTTAATGTTTTATTTAATTTCTAAAATTAATAAAAGTTTCTTACTTAATTTGACTTAGGGATTTCTACTGTGTTTTCTATTTTTAACTTATCACACAATTAAAATATTCTATCCATGATTTTAGCTATTTTATACAAGGCAGAATGAGCTGCAAAGTTAGGAAGACTAAACATTTAATTTTTTCAAATAATTATTAATTCTTTCTTTTTTTTTCAAACATTTAAAGGAGGGTAATTAATTTATTAATTAAGTATAAAATTTTCTTTTAATTTGAAAAAGAAAGTCTTTTATGAATGAATTAAATGAGTGCCTAAAACCTCATAAATTAGAAAAGAACCTTAAATTTTAAATATTTAATTTTGTGACAAATGCTTTTTTCTAATTGTAACTTATTTCTTACTCTAATAATTTAAATAAAATATAATATTTAAATTCATAATTATCATCATAAACTAACTCAGAAATCATTTTTTTAGTTTTTTCATTTGATGACATTTCAATATTCTTCTTGTTATAGGAGCGGATATCATCCTCATTTAAGATGCTAATTTGGCTATTTTATAATAAAAAGTGTATTTCAAAGATTATTTCATGATTTTTGAGTAGATTGGTAGAAATTTAAGTTTTTATTTATTGTAATTCAAGATTACATTTTCAAGATTATTTTATGGTAAATAATTTTAAAATTCAAACCCTTTGTCAATATCTATAAATTTAATCTATTTTATATGATCATCTAATTCTTAGATAGCAGTATTCGAAAGATTTTTAATAGATCTTAATTGAATTATTTATTAACTTGAGTATTCTGGATTTTAAGTTGACTCTTTAAGAATGGCTATTGATATTTTTCGTTATGCATCTTTATTATCCATACTCTGTAAATTTTAAATGTTAAATTTTCCAGTAAAATTAGAGGAAGGTTTTCTATAAGTTTTTTTATCTAATTATATTTCAGGAGATTATTCACTTAGTAAAGATGGTTCTTGTAATTCAATTTTATTATCACTTTATCTGTGAGTAGAATATTGTTGTTTTATTCGCTTAGTTCCACTAATCACTGTTTAAGTTTCATTCTAATTAGATACTACTTCACATTATTAAAATTATAAGATTGTATTTTATATTCCCTAAGTAATTTAAAATGATACTTAAATTGAATTAATAACTTTAAGTTTTTATCGTTCATTTCTATTTGTCTTATTTCTTGGTTAGAATAAGAATTCCTGAATCTTAACAAGCTTTTCTAAATTAGGTTTATATGATATAATGAAGCAATCACTATTTTAATGATCAAACTTATGGCATATATTACATTTCTTATTTATTAAACTATAATCAGAAAGATATAGTAATTAGTCTTATAAAGAATAAAATATTTCTTTATCTTTCTAATTATTTTAAAGCACCGTCAAAAGTTCTTATCTGGATATTCGATATAATTAGCAATAGCTTGTGCTAATTAATTTAAATTTTTATTTTAAGCCACTTATAAAGGAATGCTCTCCTAAAGTATCTCCTTCTTTGAACTCTTAAATGATCTTCTGTGTTCTCACTTCTACTAAACTTACTGATCCTTAATCTAAGTAGTAGCTATGTACTCAGAAATAAGTCTTACAGATACTAATCTATATTTAATCCATTTGGATCGTAAATAATATCATTTGGTATAAAACCAACCTATTCAAGTTTCTAAATTATTTAAGATTAAGTTTATTTAGAGAAGTTACTTACTAATAGTTTCATATTTTATAATATTCTTGTCTTAATGTTTATGTTTACATCATCTCTTAATCCATGTGGTAAATTGTCAATTATTTATTAAGCCTATAATTGCTAGTCGATTAGATACTTCTATTGAATTATTCTTAGACTCATGATCAACTTAGTTTTTTAAATAGTTTCTTACTCTATTGGATATAGAATCATCAACTAAATTATTCTTCATATAAGCATTTATCAAAATCAATTATCTTCTTTAAAATTATAGAGATACTTTACTTGCATAAATTTCTAACATCATAAAGATTCTTAATAATAATTCCTATTGAATTCATTGAATAAGCAAATACAAAACTACTTATAAACATTGTAAAATTAGAAAACACAATCTCTATTGGATTTGAAGCAGTAATATCGCCATATCCAACAGTTACCATAGTCATTGTAGCCCAATATACAGCATAATCATATTTTATTAAATTTGTTTGATCTTCAAGGGAATACTTTTGAATCCATGAAATTTCATTTAGTTGCTAACCTAATATTGCTAAATAATGCCAAAAACATCCTATTATGTGAACAAAATAATATAAAGATATTATTAAAAATATTAGATCTAATACTTCACTTAGATTTCCATTCAAATATAAATAATCAACAAAACTATTTATTTTTTTATAAACTATGTTGATTATTATTATTATCTACAAAATTGACAACATTTCAACTATCTAAAACTATTCTATTCCATTATACATCAATATCCATATAATCAAATTTAAAAAATCGTTCAGGACTTGATTTCTTAAATAATTATTTATTATGTCTTTTCTACTGATAACTAACTAATTTTATTACATGTTAAATTACTTCTCCTTGTTTAAGATAAGCTTTATTACACGTAATTAATCCATCAATCAATAAGAAAATGAAAATAAATACTATTGTTTATTAGACACTTAAGTTTTATAATAATTAAAACGATATTATGAATGGTGAAAACCAAAGAGTAAAAAAACTGAATAAAATGCTGAATAAATTCCAATATTTCACAAAATTATCTTATGGTAAGAAAACTTAAAAGAATAGAAGTTTCTCTAAACTATTAGCAATTTTATTTTTTTTTAATTACTTACCATCTTATATCACATAATCTTGAAATAAATAATTTAAAATTGGTTTTTTTTCCTCATACATGTTATGTGATAAAATATGTGCATTTTGTAATAAATTATCCTTTAATTTCTTAAGCATCTACTTATTCAAAACTTACTTGAGTTTTCCATCTTGACTATTTTCCATTTTAAATAGGCTTTGTTGGATTTACTTTTTGCTGTTTACCAACGCAGGTTGCTTATGTTAAAAATACTTTTACTTAAAATTTAAGAGAAAAGATTTAAGAATTTTTCTGAATGAGCTTATTTTTTTTTTTGGTCTCTTGATTTATTGATCTTATACTCTCCATATTACTAATTTCGCTTTAAAATTAAATTTCTGAGTTTGATAGAATCTTAGGATCAACATGAGGAGTGGCACCTTCAATTAAAATTTTAGAACAAAGAATTTCATCATTATTAGAATTGTAAAATCTTGACATGTATTTTATATTAAAATATTTGTAATAATCAAATCCTAATAATCTGTTATTAGGAATTTAATAAGTTTTCCTCTTTTTTAGAAGAAATTAATCGAAAACTACAATTATTTTTAATAATTAAAAGTATATTAAAATCATTATTGTTCTTTTTTTTAAATATTCTTCATTAGGTATCTTTTTTTTTTTAAGGTATTTTGGCTAACAAGTTTTTCTAATTTACAAAATCTTGCGACCTTATAAAATAATGTATATTTATAATTCAAGGATGATTATTTGGATTTATTTCTTCTTTAATTACTTTAAGCTATCACAACTGAAATATGATTTTAGGGTAGATAAATTAATGTTTTTAAAGCAATATCAATATCACAATTTTCAACTTAAAATTGACCTTCCATTAAATCTGAAGTTTAAAAGCCATTTTTTGTCGCAAGTTTATAAACTTGAGTAGGAACTACGTTATTTTCTAAATCAAAATTATTGGACGAAGATTTTCTATTTTCATTATTTTAAGATCCTATGGATTTCTTATTATGTAATTATTTTGATTATGATTTCTATAACTACGATCCTAATGAGTATTAAGTATGAAAAAATTCTAAGATATTTTAATTTTAATACATTATTATTTTTCACTTGAAACATTCAAATGTGATAAACTTGGCTAATTTGGTTAGTTTTATTTAATTAAATTTTGTTAACTTTCAATTTAATCTTATGATGTTTTATCATAATTATTTTAAGATTATAAATGAAACTCTTACTACTAATATATAGATACAGATGTAACTATATTTTCATACTCATTTAATGCATTAATTTTTTATCTATCCAAACGTGTAATTTTTTTTCTTTGTTATTTAATAAAGTATTCAGCCTTAATTAATCTTTCTAAATTTGGTTTATAACTTATAATTGGACAATAAATATTTAAATGTGTGAATTTAGAACACATATTACATTTTAAATTAATAATTCTCAAATCTTGATTTATTAATAATTGATCTTTAATATTATGATAGGTTTCAAAATCTATTTAACTTCTATTTAATATTTATAAGAAATCTTTCCTAGATATTTTATAAATTTATGTATAAGTTTAGCTGACAGCTCTTATTGGAGAGGAACGATTAGTAAAAAACTAATATTGACCAAAATAAGTTCCACATTTATAAGTTTCTAATTATTTTTTAGTTCTACTTTCTTAAATAATTACTTCTCCTTTTTCTATAAAATATCTTTTTTTATAAAATAAATATATTACAAAGAATTATCATTATTAATTTAATTATCGAATAAAACATCATTAGGAATGCATGAGCCATATTATAACTTATTAGCAGCAGCATATTTAATTTTCTCTGAAAAGATATCAAACAATTTAATTTATTTTAGTATTCTTAATTTGATGTCTTATTTTAATTCTTCTTAAAGTAAAGAAGGAAAATCTTCAATTATATTATGAATCTATGTTATAGATATTAACGTACATCTTATGCATTTGTTTATTAATTATTTTCTGCTTAATATTTTAAAAAGTTTCTCACTCTATTTTAAATTGAATCTGAAACCAAATTATTCTTCATATAGGTATTCATTAAGATAAGATTTTTCCTTTGAAAATAAACAAAACTTTTACTTATAGAAACTTGAAGACACTTAAATATTTTTTATAATAATTCCAATAGAATTCATTGAATATGCAAATATTAAGCTACTGATAAACATTGCAAAATTTGAATATAGAATTTCATATTAATTTCCTGCAGTAACATCACCATAACCAACAGTTACCATAGTCATAGTTGCCCAATAAATTGCTATGTTATATTAAATATAATATTCTTTATTTTCAATTTCATTTTTGATTAACCAATTCATTCCTGTGTTTTCTGTAGCAAACCCTATGTATGTCCAATAACATGCAAATATATGAATGCAAAAGGATATACAATTAATCAATATAATAAGATCAATTAATTCACTTAAACTACCACTCATATATAAACAATCAATATAATTGTTTAATCTACTGTATAATCTAATAATTATAAAAACAGTCTAAATTAAAGAAAGTAGCTATCTTGCATGAATATCATCAATATGAGACAATTAAATTATCCAAATTAAGCAATTGATGATGTCACCAAAAACATGACTTCTCAGATATTGCTAAATTATTATTCGTTTATTTAGTACTAACTCTCCCTATAAGATAATTGCCTTATGGCATATAATAAAAGCATCAATCCAAAAGAATATTATGAATGAATATATCATTATTCTATATTAGACTTAATTAAATAAGTTAAAGGTAGCTACAAATGAAGAAATCCATAAAGTAATAGCTGTTATTACTAGTGCAATTAAATCCCATAATCTTACAAATAATTATTATGGCAATAACACTTCTATTTTTAGACTTAAAATTCCCTAATGAGAATTTTTTATTTCCCCATTATTTTACTCTTTTGAATCATCAGAAAATAGACTATTTATTACATCTTTATTAAAATTGAATATATTTTTTCTCCAAATATATGCTGCATCTTATAAATTGCTCCAAAACCTCTCTTAAATTGTTTTAATGTTTTCGTCAATTTTTTGGACATTTTTCCCAAAATTAGATGTTTTTTTCTCGACTTACTAATCGATTTTAACTGTTTTTTATGAGGTCTAAGTTTGTTTATAAAAAATTACATTAAATCGTAATTATTTTCCTGAATTTTCTTTTTTTAATTGTGCTATTGGTCTTATTAAACATGATTATTACACTGGTCTATTGCTATCTATTACACTTATATCAGAATAAAATTATATTTCACTGTTAGATCCTTATTTTGGATTAATCATAATAGAAGTTTTATCTGGACCTAATTTATCCTTTTCGTAATCACGAGTATTTTATTTTGATTCAAAATTTAATAATGACATAATAAATAAAAAAAATATTATCTAAATTTATCTAAGGCTATTTATCAATATAACATGCAATATTATTAAATCAAGATTAACTATTTATTTAGAGAATCGTTTTTTTATGGATTGATTATATTGGTATTTTTTATACATAAATAAATCTATATTTATTGCTAGTTAATTAAATTTTTTAAATTTTGGATTGTTTTTATTACTTTTAAAATGTATTTATAACATTTTAGATATTATTTTGTGGAAAATAAATTTAAAAACTTTCCATTCTATCTAATTCAAAATTGTATGTATGGTAAGATTATAAATTCTCTAATTACTTAAAATATTATTTATTGTTTGTTTTAGTCTAAGAATTATTTGAAGAACTCATTAATTGTTGTTATTCATTAACTTAAAGCAATTAATTACTCATATGTCTTTTAGAATAATGATCCTAAGATGAATTAAATAATGACTTTCTTGTTGGTTTATGAGTTGGAGTATCACTATTATGTCTATTAGATTTTTATAAAGACTCTAGTTTAACGAATTTAAAATACTTTATTAATCTATTTAAGAATGATCTGGATTAGTAATCCACAATGAAATCCTTTTTTTTATTTATTATGCAACTTCTTCGTTATTATTTGTATTATTTTAATTTTCACTGCCAGTTAAACTCGAATATTATTTATTAACCGATTCTTATGAGATAATTGAAGACTCATGTTCAATTAATTTATTTGAATTTCTTTGTGGTTCATGTTCTTCATTTTAATTGAATATTCTTTGATATCTAAATTTTTTTCTTTGATATTAAGATCTTTATTATTTAGAATGATATAATTATCTTTTAATTAACGATTCTTTTTCAGGTCTATAAGTTATATAATGACAATTTCTAAATAAATGATCTTCATCACAACCAAAACATTTAACTGGAAGGTCTTCATATTGAAATATCATTTTATCTCTCATTTCACAATATTTTTCAAAATCAATAGAATTTTCTTATATAATTTCTAAAAATGTTTCTCTTGTAATTCTATAAATGGAACTAAATGTTGTACTTATAGCTTTGTATTACCTTTTTTAAGTAGTTAAAAATTAGATTTCTCCAAAACATTAACCTTTAATAAGTTTTTAAATAATTTTGCCTGATTTATCATCAATTAATTAAACTTCTCCTTTTTGGATAATATAAATAGAATGTTCATCAATAGAATTTTATTAGAATATAATTTCTCTTGGAGTGAATTGTTAAATATTCATTCTACAAGCAATTTCATGTATTGTAGATGATTAAAAGTTTTTAATAAAGAACTCTACACATGTAACAGCTCTAATTTAAACATCTTCTAATAATTCTTATTTTAAATTAAAAGATAACTTTTCGATAATCGAATTAATTTCAGTATTGTTACCTTTAACTTATTATTCATAATAGTATTTTAAATAGTTTCGAACTCTACTTTATAATTGTAAAGATACTTCATTTGAATTCATATATTAATTAATTAACACAAGATTTCTTTTGTAATATTGCTTTTATAAATCAATATTTGAAAAAATGACTCCAATAGCATTAATAGAGAATGCAAAAACAACACTTGCAAAAAATATCATAATAATCGCACAAATAACTTCATAAATATTTTATGGAATTACATCACCATATCCTACTGTAACCATAGTAGCTGTAGCCCAATAATATGAATAACCATATTTATGAAATAATGGGGAATTTTCTAAACGTTATTACTAAATCCAAGAATTTGAAAATGATTCTTAGCTAATATTTCCAACATAATACCAAATACAAGCCATAAAATGAGCAAAATAGAATATTAATATTATTAATTAAGAAAGACTAACCAATTCTGTAAATGTTGATTAGATTGCAAACATCTCTCCATATCTATTTATAGTTTTTTTTAATTTAATAAAATTAAATGTGAATTAAATTAAAACTATAATTTCAGGAAAAAATGATATTGCTATTGGATCTCCTCCTATTACAAGTGTTAATGTTATTAAATAAATTGCATCTTCATATAATTCATAAATAACATAATGTTTTAATATTCTGAGTCTATCATAAACAATTTACCCTTAATCTATCATTCCTTTATTCAATTTTATTACTAAATCACCTCCAAATAAATAAATTAACATCTATTCAATATTTTACATTGTTATTGTTTTAGGAGGATCAAAAGATATTTTGAAAGGAACCCACCATAATAAAAACATTATTTAAATTAATCTCAATAATTACCAAAGTAGATAAAACTTTCCAGTTGGATTTATTAATGGTATTTTTATTCCTTATTAAACATTTTCTACACTTTAATATTACTCTATCAAACCCTACTCAAATTTTTGTTCTTATTAGTTTACTTTACTATGATGATGATTTTAATGAATATATTATTCATTTAAAAAATGACAAAGCTTCTCATTTGGGTTCCTAGGAAATACATGTCCCAATTGAAATAATTTCTCTTTGAATTTCAATAAAAAATTTTTTTATTTTATCAACTACATTATTTTATTACCTCTTATATTATATATTTTATCTGATGGATTTATTGAAGTTGACTTAAATTAATTTAAATTTCTCATACATGGTAATTTAAAGATTTTTTTACATTTCCCCTATTTTATCTCTACTATTTCTCTTGTACAACATCTTCATACGATTTCTCATATATAGGGCTAAATTCTTGACTATCCTCCTTATATTTCTATATTGGCTTCTAATTAATCTGTATTAATTATGGTTAAAATTTATCAGAATATCTTGATGAATCTAAGCTAATAATAATTTCATCTTAAACTTATGTTTATCGATCTTGCTGATTCTTGCTAATCCATCTATATTTATTTTAATTATTACTCTTATAATTAAAATCATAATACAATTTTTATTTTGAATACCCAAATACTATTGTAAATTATTTTACAATAAAGTCTAACTTAATATTGATTTAAAACAATTTTTAGTGTTTCCAATTTATAAATTTATATCATGAATTTGATGAAAAAAAACTTATTGACATTTTTTAAACAAAAATATACTATATTTGGAAATTTTCAATTACTAACATTTTTTTAAAGCTCATTTGAAAATGTTGATACTTCTAACAATTTATTTATAATCACAATAAATAAATCATAATCTATATAATTATATATTTATTATATTATTTAAATAAAATTGTTTTTGAATTTTCTTAATATATCAATAAATTGGATATTTGTATCATTTTTCATTTTTTCATCATTCATTAAATATTGAGAAGTAATTTTATTTTTTTATATATTTTAGTTCAATTTGTAAAATATTATCAATTATTCATAGATCTGAATCTCTCTAATGATTATTTTACATATCGTTGTCCTTCTATCATTTCCTGGCTGTTATTGTTTATTTGTGATATATTTGAATCTAAAATACAATCTTAATTAATCTCATTAAACTTGTTGATATGGATTAGCTAATGATTATTTTTAACCGCTTCTAAAATTGTCTCTCCTTTAAGTTCGCAAATATTGTCTAAATAAATTAATTTAAATGTAAAAGTTTGGAGCTTTTAAATAATATCATCTTTTTAATTTTCATCATTATTAATTATTATTTGATCAATAGTATTATTTGATATGGTTATATCAGTCACATTTTCATTTTTTATTTTCATTCCTAATTTATTAATCTTCTTATTTTTTTTACTTCTTTTCCATTTTTTTGATATATATGAGGTTAATTCATTATGAGTAGCTTATGGATTTTTTTTTTTGCATTTTATTAATTGTTATTTGTAAAATTCTTTCCAAAGCTATAAACCTTTCTTAATTTTCTTTCTTTGAGAATTAAATTATTCAGTTTTTTAATTAAATTATGTAACAATCTCTTCAATCTCTGTTTTCTTTATTGTTTGATTATTAACATGCTTATTTAAATCATGAACTAACTTTTTATTATCCATTTTTATATTTTGATTAATAAGTTTAGATAAGCCTTCATTTCAGAGCTAAATTCTAAGAGGATTTTTATGAAACCTAAGATTTCTGATTAATTAACAAAGCATCGTAATAAATTGGATAATTCAAATAAGGAATTATAAATATACTGTAATTTTTAAAATGATTTATTTGAAAATGTATGGTTCTCTGTTTTAAACTGTAGAAAATCTAAAGAATATTAAAATAATTTACAAAATCAAATATTTTTGTAAAAAAATAAATTTACACATAACTAAAGTTTTAGAATTGCTAGAATTTATTTTGGTTTATAAAACATATATTAAAAAGACAATTTTTCAATAATCTGTTCGATATTTTAAATAAAGAACAGGTATAAAATAAATATCCAACCAAACATCAACCATTTCTTATAAAATATTTAAATAAAATTAATGAATATGATATACGTTAATTAGGCTTAAAAACCTAAATAATCAATAGCCAAAAGATCTACAAGTGGCACTAACAGATCGCCATTTGTAAAAATTCAACAAGAATAACATTATTAAGAACCTATTCCTACAAGATAAGAATAAATTTATAAAAAGACTTGCGAAGACCTAAGATAAAAAATAAAAACCTTTAATTAATTATAAAGGTGCAATGTTATTCTCTTTGGTCCTAGTGGCTCTGGAAAGTCATCTTTAATAAGGACATTTAATACTAGTTTAAATTAAATACAAACATTACCAGAAATGTTATGTATTAAAGATCTATTACATAATGAGGGAACAAAACATTTCTAAAGCATAAATCTTCTTTAGTCAAAAGAAAATAAGATATTTTCAAAAATGAATTCATATTTAATTTAAAATTGCGAAATCAATATCCTAGACACTCGAGGATAAATTCACTTAAGTTCAAAAGAAAATAAGCAAGTTGAGCTTATGCTAGAAGGGAAGGTAAAAAATATGAGTCTGGTTGAATAGAGAACATATAGGTATGCTTATAAATTATGGGAGTTCTGGAAATAAGATTGTGAACTATTTCCTTAAGAAATTATTAGTTGTGGAACCTACATCCCTCACTAGGTTTTAATAGTTTTTGATGGCAGTTTAGATAAGGTACCTAATGGGAAAGAAGAGACTGAATTTTATTAACAAATATTAGGTCTTGTGAAATAAAAGGGCTACGACAATCCATTCATAATTTTAACTTAATTGGATAAATTAGAGTATAAATTTAGACATCATGCTGATTATTAATTATATGTTGATTGTAGAATAGAATCAATTGTTTAATCTCTAAAAATTCCAAGAGAAAGCGTTTTTTTTATTGAAAATTATCATGGACAATAATAAAGTTCAGAACTTGATTATTAAGCACTGAGACTATTGTACGAATGCTTATAATAAGCATCTAAATATCATATTTAAAGTGTAGAATGTAAATTTTTTTGAATGAATAATAGTTTTTCATTTATATTGTAAATGCTTAGAAACTGAAATATAAAAATTTAATATATAGATTAATTATAATCAAAAACATTTCAAGTTGTATTTTTTGTGAATTCATCGCTAATTTAAAAAAAATCCCAAGATCGCCCGCTATGACATTTGTATTATGACCAAAACTCAAGTTGAAGAAGAATTTTGAACTTTGAAATAAAAAAAATATTCTCATTCCAAAACAAAATTCTATACTACCCCCTTAATTCATAATTTAATGGAAAATTAACCAAAAAAACTCTGAGTATAGCCAAATTATTAAATTCATCAATTTTTAAAGATAATTATAACAAGCCTATTATTACTAAATAACATAATCACTTAATTTAAATTTTCTCTTAGATATATTTCCTAATCTTTCCGATTTTTCGAAGTATATATAATAATCCATCCCTTCAATAATTTAAATGAATGTAATTGATTATGGTTCTGATATTCTAGTTGTTAATCATATAAAATGTAAATTCTAAAATTAAGAGATTTCTCGTTAATTTCTTGAACATATAAAATATTATTTTTTGGCAATTATATGATAATAATTGGCTTAAAATTGATTAGACTACTCCTCGAATTGATTATAGTTTTTTCCTAATATTCAAATTAATCAGCAATAAGTTAATTTATCATGGAAATAAATATTACATGATTTTCTAATAGCAGTTTTTTTATATTTCTTAAATTCTCTCTCTAATAACAAATGAACATAATTTCTTACTCAAAATTTTTATCAAAAGTTTTAAAACTAAGGGAAATTCTGAATATGAAATGACTTTAGGCCACAAAAAAAAAAGGGACTCTCTATAATTACCAAATATTGAATGAAAATATTCGCGAAGTTAAAAAATTCCCATTTGATTTTAATTTTTGATGTTGTGATGTACTTTAAATTGGCCTGAAATACTTAAATATTCAAACAACTCTTATTCTAAACTAAATATATATTTTAAATATTTGTAAGCTTTAAAAAATTGGACTTATTTGTGTTTAATTTATATTGATCTACTTTTAAATAAATTTTCTGATTTGCCACTTGTATAAAATTATTTTAAGAAATAATTATGATTGTGTTTTTTGACATCTGACATTAAAGTTTCCATTCTACCTCTTCTAATTGACTTGCTACAATATCTTCTCCACCTAAAAATATATGATTTGAGAGTA